TTCTTCCTCCTCTTCTCAGTCCACCATCTCCTTCTCACCCTCTCGCTATCTGACTTCACTGCATCAGCAGACTACGAGGGAGAGAGAGAGAGCTTGGTGACATTTGGATCCAGACTCGACGTTGGACTTCAGCCATTTTGAAGAGGGATTATTTGGGACTTGTGACGAGACTTGGTGTTGACGACTTTCCCATCTCCCCCTTCCTCTTCTTCGTCTGATCCCCTCCTCTTCGTCTGTGTATGTCTGGACCTGGAACTTCTTTCCTGTGTATAGCGCCAGGCCCCTTCACACCTTGTGATGAGCATGATGTATGTTTGGTCTACGTTGAAACATTGATTGGGCTAGTCATTAGTATTCTAGCATTCTGCTTTGCTATCTTGTACTACGTGAAAGGGGTCAGTCCCGGTCAGGTCAGGACTCATATCTAAAGTCTTCCCTGTGCTATAAAGCACCATTTTGTATGTATCGGAATGCACGTTGCTTGTTGAGATTCCACTTGCACTGCATTGTCCATTCAGTCCTTTTTATCACATTGCGGATCCTCAGTTTATATGTACATCGCCTAACTGGGCATGTAACAGTTGGTATCGGAACACCGCACGTGAATCAGGACAACCTGATCTGACACGTGTGTGGAGACTAGGTAGCTGATTAGTATTGATTGATTGATTAGAGCACACTAGTTAGCCCGCAAAATCACGATTTTGACCTCACTGCCGAAAATCGATTTTTTTTTTTTCTTTTCTTGGATTTTGTTTTCTCGCTATTTCTGTTGTGGAAATCGCAATAGCGCAACATCAGAAATTTCCGTTTTCGTTTTTCTTCCTGTGTTAGTCCCCGGGCGGCCCGGCTGGGGGAAGGTCGCCCGGGTACCCTCCCGGGCGGCCCGGACAGGGCAGGGCCCGGGCAGAGTCCCGGGCGATCCCAGCGCATAATATTCTAAAAAATAGAAAATAAAAAAATTCAAAAAAAATCAAAAAAAAAAAAGTTGTGTAAAATTGCAATACAAACGACTTTTGGCTGAGGGCCACCTCGAAATTCCTTGTTAATTTCAAGATGCAAGGAAGATGACCAATAGCGAACTTCAGCAATCATACATATGAGTCCAGATAGTCGTGACCTCGAACCAACAGCAGAATTGCATCACGAGATTCGCCAAATAAGAACACACCAAGAGTTCATAATTGACAATGCTGAAATAGTCCCATCATCATCATCAACGAAGAACCAGAGTTGATATCCTATCTGGCGCTCGGCGCCCAGACTACATGTGGCAGATCCTATCTAGCCTATACTACAATGCCGAAGTTGACGTCAACAGCTTTCCTGAAGTACGAGCATATGGCCACCAATGTCGCATGCTTCCAGCACCAGGTATGTCTCTCGCCACACTCACAACCTCATTCCCCAACACACAGATGCCACTAGCACCCAAAGACCACCCTGCGCCACACCCAGCTCACAGCGGAGCAGCTCGGCTATGGCTGCCCACTCCTTCCTGCTCGCATGTGAGAGCGTGAGTGGCAGCCAGCAAATAGCGCAGCAGCGCTTGCGCAGCATGCAGCCAGCACCCGAATGCCGAATGAGGAGGCAGGCCATTGCTATATCGAAGTGGCCTGCCTGCGTCCAGTCCCAGGAAGCTTCCAGTAGGCCCCGGTAGCCTGAGGCCCAGTACGCATGAGAACAGGCCTTGGGCCTGAGGTGGTTGCATGTGCCCAACTGCCTGTGGCCTGTGTTCGGCCCGGTACCCGTATCCAGCCCAGGGCCTGCTTTCCATTCATTCACACAGGCGGCCCAGGGCCTGGGTGTCTTCAACCAACTGACGCTGCGCAACTGCCTGAATTTCCTTAGTTGCGCAGTAGCCGAAAAAGGGCCCTGAGGGCCTCGTCGAGCCTGCCTTCACTTAGGGCGGCCGACTGGCTCCAAAATGGGGGCTGAATGGGGCTCATAGAGGCATAGCCTCGCAAAGATAAAAATAAATGAGAAAACCTGAGTCCCAAAAGACTGCAAATGTACCCTTTTTACTTTTAAGCCCTTAAGTCACTGTTTATACCCCCCAACCCCCCCTGGATGACCCATCACCAAAACCGAAGTTAAGACCGGATTCTGATTGCTTGGGCCAAGAGCAGTCCTGGCCTGAAGTCTCTTTTTTTGGGGGGCGGGATACTTGCCTCTTTTTTGACCCGTCTGGTTTTGCCGGAGAACCCCCCCTCTGCCCAACTGGCCCGGGCGTGCCGGGCCGGGCGACGGCCCAACATAGTTTTCTTCTGAAAATTCGAAATTTCGTTGTTAGAAAATCCGGAATATCTTTTTTTCGAAAATTTCAATTTCCTTTCGCAATTTCCCGCATTTGGAAGTTCGGAATATTTTTTCGAAATCCGTTTTTTTAAAAACGGTACGGGAAATCCCTCTTGCAGTACCATTTTCCAAACTGCGAATACTCTCATCTTCGTAAGTCCAAATACTGGCTATTTCTGTTCGGAACTTTTTTTATTCGCAGTTCTATGATTTTCAGTACCTGATAATCATTGGCAGTCTGAAGTTCAAATATTTTTTCTCATTGATACTTTCGCACTTCAAGGGATTTGGGAGACCTACCGAACTTCCCAACGAGTATTTTTTTCTTTTTCTCGAAATCTTTTGCAAAGTTCAAAACTTTTCTTTTTTGATTAGTGGCTCCTTATCTGGGCGATTAATCCCACCACCCCTCCGCACATATGTTGTTGCCCCCTCTGGTCTTACCTTCTCTATCTGTCTCCGGGTACCCCCTGTGGCGGCATTGGTGAGTTGCCACGTCAGCAGACACGTCAGCAGGCCAAGACAGCCCACAGCAGTGTCACGTCAACAGCAGGGAGTACCATGTCAGCAGGCCCCCGGCCTGGTCTATGCTTTTGCGCTCGCAAACAGCTGTCATGGACCAGAAGTCCGGGGAAACGGACGAGGCCTATCAGGCCCGGATGCTGCTTCTGATTACCGAAGCTAAGCAACGGTCAGATGCAGTAGCAGCGGCAGCAAAGAAGAAGGCAGAGGACGCCGAGAAGGTACGTCTGCTGGCAATTGAAGAGCAGTGCCCGCACGACAAGGCAGCAGCAAAGGCTGCCGATGAAGAACTAGTTCAACGTCGCGAGAGGATATTCAGCGGAGAGCAAGCTTTGCTCACAATGCCAACGGATTGGCGGGCCGCCGAGAATGGCAAGATGGAGGAGAGTGAAAACAAGATCGCTCTACTCCTCTCCCATCTCACGGACCTCCTGGCAACATGCATTACACAGCAGGAGGACATCCACAGCCTCGACGACGCGCTGACTCAAGTCCACAGCCGCCTCCGGCAGCTGGAGCAGCGACCCGTCGCCGCCCCCGATGCCAGCTCTTCCAACACCTCCGATCGCCTCGAGGCATTGGAGATGGACGTCGGCTCCCTCAAGGACGGCGTGCAGTTACAGCAAACCGCAACGCAACAGTTGGAGCAGCGGATTTGTACTGCCGCCAACCACTCGAGCTCGGAACCACGCGAGACAGCTCGAAAGTTCGACGGGCAGGAGATCTTCTGCGACTCGACGAAGACAGATCCGATTTCATGGTTCCGCAAGTTCGAGCTCACACTGCAGCTACACTACGTCAAAGAACACAAGCACCACGGGTACTTGTACTCCCGGTCAGGGGGCGCATGCCAAGCTGGTTGGACAATCTCTTGTCCAAGTACGGAGTGGTAGCTGCCGACTTGCATACCAAGATCAGTTGGGATGATCTGAAGGCGGTGTGCCATAAGCGGTTCCAAGTAGAGCCGTCGGAGATCAAGGCAATGGACAAGCTGATGGTCTTCGAACAAGGCACGCTGTCGAGTGTCGACTGGATTGCCGAATACCAACGCTTGACATCCGTCCCAGACATCCAAATGGGCTTCAAAGCCATCAAACACTACATCTCGAGGTCGTGTCCGGCGTTGGGCAATGCCTTGACTCACGTCGAGGACACCCTGACGACACCCGCAAAACTTTTTGACAAGGCCGCGCAGATTATTGTCACGAACAAGGAGGCCAAGAATTTCCAGCGTTCGTCTGCGCCAGGCCTGATCAGAGATCAGCATCGGCCGAAAGTGGTCGTGGTCGCAGCGGCAACGCCAAGCGACCAAACGAGCGAGGCCGTGTCCGCCAATGAAGGAGACAGACTTGCAGCCGCCCGGGAAGGTGGCCGCCCCGACAAAGGCCGAGGACGCGGCAAGACGAAGACAAACATTGCATCTAGCCCCGGGCCTGGCGCAGCAGCTCCAGCCCCATGGTCCCATTACGGTCTCTCCGAATAGGCGTACAAGGCACGCACGAGATTAAGCTATTGTATGTGGTGTAACAGCGATCAACACGACACAATGGCCTGCTAGTCGAAACGCAAGGGCAAATCGGGAAACTCAGCACCGTCGGGAGTGACTCGACGACACTCTTGATGCCTTCGCAACCGGTCGCTTTGCGGGTGACCGTCCTTCATTCCGAGGCACATGCGAAAGTCGATAGTCCTCCTCTTCTTTATTCTTTTGAGGATTATGCTGCCTGGCTCATACCTACGGTGGGTACTCAAGCTCAAGGACAAGACGTGTGTGCGGCATCTTCTCCGTCCGGGAGCAGCGACTTATCGGCTTCAAGTGGTTCCTCACGGGATTTGGCGCACGAGTTCAACATAGAGGTATTGGACCCGCTCACGTCTGAGGATTTCGCATGGCTTCCTCTCCCGACCAAGGACCTCTTGTCGAGACCACAATGCGCAACATTATGCGCTAATCTTCACACGTACTTATCCCTCTATGCACCACCAACTTCGCCGACGGATGACGAAGACGCGGTGGGGTACATCCTTGCGTATGTCACCAAGATGGCCCGCGAGTTTCGCAATCAGCGGTACGATGACAACAACTCACCGCTCGTCTATGTCCGCATCCAAGTTGGGCAGGCGTCCTGCAGCGCTTTACTGGATAGCGGCGCGTCTCGCAATTTTATGAGCCAAACCGTTATGCAAAAGGCTGGCCTTGGCGCACAAGTTCGAAGGAAGACAAACCCGACGGTGATCAAGTTGGCGGACGGAAGGATGCAGCAAATTATCGACCGCTACATCGAGGTCGTACGAGTGTATTTCGCACCTCATCATGCGAACCGGTGACATTTGACATTTTGGACACGGACTTCGACATTATTTTGGGAATGCCTTCGCTTGCAAGTCCGGATCACACGGTCAACTTCCACCGGCGGACTCTTACCGTTCGCGACGCCTACGGCGCCGAAGTGTCGTGTACTATTCCTCTGCCTCACCCTTCGATTCGGTGCCAAGTGGTGACGGCCAAGTCATTCCGAGCCACTTGTGCTTACGAGCAGCCCGGCGAAATCGGCTTATGTTTCCTGCGAACCCGCGGTAGCCAACTCTTCACCCACGGACTTGTCTTCGGACCCCCGTGTGGTGCGGTTGCTTAATGAGTTCGCCGACATCTTCGAGTCACCTATCAGGGTGGTGCCGGATAGGCCGATCTCTCACGAGTTTTTTCTTGAGGCCGGTGTCGTGCCACCGAAAGGTTGCATTTATCGCATGAGCGAGGAGGAGCTTACGGTCCTCCGCGTGCAATGATTTGTTGGATTAGGGCTGGATCCGCCCTAGTAGCTCTCCATACGGAACGCCAATTCTATTCGTACGGAAGAAGAACAAAGATCTATGATTGTGCATCGACTACCGGAAGCTTGCATCAACTACCGGAAGCTCAACGCGCAAACCGTCAAGAATGCGGGGCCTCTTCCTCGCATCGACGATCTTCTTCAGCGATTGGGCGGCGCGAAGTATTTTTCTAAGTTGGATTTGAAATCGGGATATCATCAAATATCGATCCGACCGAACAATCATTACAAATCTACATTCAAGACGCGGTATGGGCATTTAGAGTGGGTGGTCATGCCTTTTGGCCTCACCAACGTCCCGACGACCTTTCAAGCGGCAATGACCAACGAGTTTCGTGCAATGYTGGACCGGTTCGTGCTGGTCTACTTAGACGATATTCTCGCCTATAGTCGGTCATTGGAGGATCATCTTGAGCACTTTCGATGAGTGTTGGAGACGCTCCGCCGCGCCAAGTACAAGGCTAACCGCGACAAGTGCGAATTTGTCCGGCAAGAGCTGGAATACTTGGGCCATTTTGTCACACCGGAGGGCATCAGTCCGCTATCGGACAAGATTCAAGCCATCAAAGTGTGGTCGAAGCCACGAAACGTCACGGATGTTCGTTCGTTCCTTGGCCTCGCCGGCTACTACCAGCGTTTTATCAAGAGGTACTCGAAGATCGCGGCCCACTTGACCAAGCTTCAATGCGAGGATCGGTCGTTGGACTTCGGAGAGGATGCGCGGGAATCATTTTTGGCTCTCAAAGCCGCGCTATTATTTGCGGAGGTCTTGCGCATATACGACCCGCTTTTGCCTACGCGCGTCACTACGGATGCGTCTGGCTATGGCATTGGTGCCGTCCTCGAGCAACACGAAGGCGTGGACTGGCACCCGGTCGAGTATTTCAGCAAGAAAGTGCCCGTCGTGCACTCCATTGACGAAGCACGCAAGAAGGAGCTCCTCGCCTTCGTCCACACACTCAAGAGGTGGAGGCACTTCCTCCTTGGTCGAAGCCAATTCCGATGGGTAACGGACAACAATCTGTTGGTCTTCTACAAGACCCAAGACAACATCAACAGCACCATCGCTCGATGGATGGCTTTCATCGACCAGTTTGACTTCTTTCACGATCACATTCTGGGGAAGTCGAACCGTTTTACGGATGCTCTTTCACGGCGTCCGGATCATTGTACCGCGGTCTATTCAACCTTCGAGATCGACAACGACTTGTGAGACTGCTTCATCCGCGGCTACCAAGCCGACCCCGAGTTTCGCGACAAGTACGTTAATTGCTCCTCTCCTAATCCAGCGCCTTCTCACTACCGGATCCAAGAGGGGTACTTGCTTTTCCACACATGAGGGAAGGACCTCCTTTGCGTACTTAGTGACCCTCACTTGAGTACACGGCTTCTTGGCGAGTTCCACGATGCTCCCGCCACCGGACACTTTGGAGTCAATCTCACGATTGGCCAACTCCGCAAGTGATTTTGGTGGTCCGTCCTTCTCGACGACGTCACACGCTATTGCGAGTCATGCGAGGTTTGCCGACGCTGCAAATCCCGCAACCATCGTCCATGCGGCGAGTTGCGACCATTATTGGTCCCCTTGCGGTGAAGGGAAGTGATTGCCATGGACATTACCGGCCCGTTCCCCGAGCATAAGACCGGCGTGGATGGGATTCTCACGGTGATCGACCGACTCACCAAGTTCGCCATGTTTTTGCCTTGCCGCTATCATGCCAAGGCACCGGAGTTGGTTGAGGTTCTTTACGCCGGTTGGATTCGAATCAAGGGTTACACCAAGGAGATCGTCTCCGACCGCGACACTCGATTCATGTCCGATTTTTGGTTGCCGCTCATCAAACGATGGGGCTCATCTCTCAAGCCAAGTTTGGCTCGCCACCCCCAAACCGATGGCCAAACGGAGAGGGCGGATCAGACCGCACAGGTCCTCCTTCGCACTCTCATCCGCCCCGACCAAAAGGATTGGGTTAAGCGGCTGTCGGATGTCGACTTGCCCTACGACTCGTCCATCCACCGGGCTATCGGGATGTCCCCCTTTGAGTTCGAGCATGGCTCGCCGGTCACTTCGTCGTTGGACACAATCATTCCACAAACGGCCGAGAGCGACGACCATCTTCCTTCCTTGCGTCGGATGCAAGACCTACTTATCAAGGCACACGACTAGATGGCCAAGACGCAGCAACGCATGAGCCAACAGGCTAATCACCAGCGTCTTCCTTGCCCACTCCGCGTCGGCGATCTCGTTTGGGTTTCCGCCGCGGAATTCAGCCTTGAACAAGACATCTCTCGCAAGCTCCTCCCGAAATGGATGGGGCCTTGGCCGATCGTGGCACCCGCTGGGGATGCACCTGAGGGACCTTCCTTCACTATTCAGGTGCCCACCCACTTGCCCGTCTACCCAGTCTTTCATTGCTCCAAATTGGCTCTTTATACGCCAACGGAACATAACGATTTTCCCGAGCGTCGTTCGCAAGACCCACCCTCTATGGACGGTTTTCAGGAGGTCAACAACATCATCTCCCAGTGACGCTACAGCAACAGGCCAACCGAGTACTTGGTACATTTGGCGTACTGCACTCACAAAGCTGACCGTTGGTTGACCCGTGCGGAACTCCAAGCAACAGCTCCGGACGTTCTCGCACACTACGAACGCAAAATGCAAGGCAAGCCGGTATCTTCAGTTCCACGTCGCACCCGCGCCCAGGTTCCACCTTCAGATCGTCAGCTTCGCCCTCGACCCGTCTTCACTTCATGAGGGGGGGGTGTTACATGCTGCGCCTGCAACAGGCTGCACGGGCCATTTCCAGGCCCGTCACGTTTTCAGGCCAAAAGCCTGAAAACAAGGGCCTACAGGCCCTGTGTCATTTCAGGCTAAATTAGGGCCTTTCCGGCCCTCGGTGTTTTCAGCCTGAAACTAACGGCATTTTTCGGGCCCTCACCCTCATAAGACCGACCTGCCCTGAAACTCAGGCACCAGACCAGGGTTTTAGCTCAGGCCATTCTGGCCTATTTTCAAGACAACCTTTATTTGAGCTTCAACCCCAGGGTCTGGCACGTTGAGGCATTGGCAAGAGCAGCCTCCTGGACGGGCCAGCACTATATAGGACTGGCTCGCCCTGCAGGCCGGCAGGTAGTTCCTAGGTACTTCCCAGGCACTTCACGTGCAGTTCAGGAGGCAGGAGGTAGTCTTCAGGATTCGGCAGCAGCACTCTGGAGGAGCGCTGCAGGAGTAGTAGTAGCGTTAGCAGTAGCCTTCAGCGCTGGGCGCTAGTAGCGTTAGCTGTAGTCTTCAGCGCTGGGTACCATAGCAGCTAGAGAAGTACTAGAGAGGTACTAGAGAGAGAGAGATTGGGCAGACGCCAGAGGGACTTACCTGCAGCGCCATTCCTCCAGCTTCGTCTTCGAGGTACCTGCAGCACAGCGCCATCTTCACAGGYTAGTACCTGGCACATGAGAGAGAGAGTTCTTCTTCYTCCTCTTCTCAGTCCRCCATCTCCTTCTCACCCTCTCGCTATCTGACTTCACTGCATCAGCAGACTACGAGGGAGAGAGAGAGAGCTTGGTGACATTTGGATCCAGACTCGACGTTGGATTTCAGCCATTTTGAAGAGGAATTATTTGGAACTTGTAACGAGACTTGGTGTTGATGACTTTCCCATCTCCCCCTTCCTCTTCTTCGTCTGATCCCCTCCTCTTCGTCTGTGTATGTCTGGACCTGGCGCTTCTTTCCTGTGTATAGCGCCAGGCCCCTTCACACCTTGTGATGAGCATGATGTATGTTTGGTCTGCGTTGAAACATTGATTGGGCTAGTCATTAGTATTCTAGCATTCTGCTTCGCTATCTTGTACTATGTGAAAGGGGTCAGTCACGGTCAGGTCAGGACTTGTATCTGAAGTCTTCCCTGCGCTATAAAGCACCATTTTGTATGTATCGGAATGCACATTGCTTGTTGAGATTCCACTTGCACTGCATTGTCCATCCAGTCCTTTTTATCATATTGGGGATCCTCAATTTATATGTACATCGCCCAACAGGGCATGTAACGCATTACCTCCATGGCAGACATTCTGAAGTTCGGTCGGACCATGAGACACTTGAATGGATCAAGACACAGCCAACACTTTTTAATGCGCTCAAACATTGGATACAAGTCGTTGATACGACTTCAGCCTTCAGCACGTCAATGGGAAGCATAATGTTGTCGCTGATGCCCTTTCTAAGAGGGTGTACTTCCTAGGTGCACTTGTGACGAAGTATGGCCTATCAGACGATGTACCTCAACAGTTGGTGGATGTCCATAAGGAGGGTAGATTCATGGTCGAGATTATTCACAGACCCGATGTGCAGGGCAAGGTTGTGTATGACAAGTTTGTGATGGTTGATGGTCTGTTCTTCCTTGACAAGGCTGAGAATAAAAGGTTATGTGTCCCCAACAGAGACTTTGCGTAGTTTATTTTTAGGAGAATGTCACGACGCAACAGGTAATTTTGGCTGCAGAAAGACTTCAGCGAACTTAATGCAGCGTTTTTGACAGGGCAGTTTGGCTACAAAAAGACCTCAGCGAACTTTTGCAGCATTTTTGCAGGCCAATGATGCGCAGGAGGATGCCAAGGAGTATGTAGAGACATGCCATGTTTGTCAAAGAGACAAACCTAGGACTTACGCACCTCTTGGGCTGACCAAGTCTTTGCCCATTCCTGCTGGACCAGGAGAGAGTCTATCCATGGATTCATGAATACTGTTGTGACCAGCAAGTTTGGCAAAAGGCATATCTTTGTTTTAGATTACAGATTTCCCAAATACGCAAGGTTAGTTGTGCTCCCCGAAACCGCGAAGACCGATCTTGTTATTAAACCACATGCACCGTTCCCCCCATGAAAATCAAATACGCGGCAGTATATTCGGGAGCAAGCAGAGATCGGCACTACCCGACCGAATGGCTGGTGGCGCCAGCCAAAGCGAGGCCCGCGCCGGTTCTTTTTTTTTGGGCGCACAGGGCGATTTTAGGTTCGGCGTCAATAGCTGAGAAAGGTACTGGCGGTTTGAGTTCTTAATGGATAGCTGGGTGAGGGATTTTGGCCTTCCTAAGACTATAGCTAGGGAGAAAGGTGCACAGTTCACAAGTGATTTGTGGGAAAAGACTGCTCAGCAGATAGGGTCAGAATTACAGATGACTTCTGGCAATCATCTAAAGATGAACGGCAAGCTGAGAAGATGAACCGGGTCATACAACACCTACTGAGGCACTATGTGAAGCCCAACTAGGAAGATTGGGATGAGAAACTTCCTCTCATCGCAAGTCTATACAACAACACTATGCACAGTACTACAGGCTGGACACCAGATCAGTTGCACTTGGGATGGGAGCCTAGGACTCCAGTAGACTTTCTTTTACCTGATAGCAGACCGACTGCAGCTCCTGGAAGTATCGAATTCGCAACAAGGCTGAATATCCGGTCCCACCGGGGCCCCCTTCCCCCACCGGAACCGGGCCGGCCGGTGGAGAGCATCGGTTCCCCGCCGGTTGCAAATTGCGCAATTCGCTGACGGGGGGGGGTTGATTTTTTGGGGGGGCCAGGCCTCCATGCAGGTCGTGGAAGCCTCTCGGCCCCAAAAAAAAATCAACCGGGTCCGGTAGGCCCGCCAGATTATTGAAGAACTGGCGGCCTATTTGGGCCGTCGATCTGGCGAGATCTGCGGCCCAGATAGGCCGCCCATTTTTGAACATTCGGGCGGGAAACCACCCGAAGTTCTTGGCGGCGATCCAAAACTTCCCCAGGCACAGCCCCCACCACCCCGCCTCCCGCCTCCCACCTCCAGCTGCTTTCGAGCAGCAGGACCCGTCACTTCGATACTTCGTCGAAAGTGAACGAGGTCGAGACTGTGTCGACCCCCCCACGTCCGCCCCGGCCTCGGATCGCCATCGCCCCAACCCACCATCTATCGGTAAAGGTATGTTCTCTGTTTCTTCTTCTTTGTACTATCTTCTTCTTCGTCGTCGTCGTCTTCTTACTATCTTCTTCTTCTTCTTCTTCTTCTTCTTCTTCTTCTTCTTCTTCTTCTTCTTCTGGCAAAGCCGAAGTCGGAAGTTTGCGAAGTAGAGAGAGAGAGAGAGAGAGAGAGCAAAGTAGTGGGCGCGCGCGGAGGGTAGCCGGCGCGTGGGTGACGATATGGACAGTGGATGATGATGATGATGGAGGAGGATGACATTATGATGATGGTGACGACGATGACGCCGCCGCCGCCGAAGGATGACATGATGATGATGATGACGACGATGACGACGACCACGACAGCGACGACGATGATGACGACGACGACGACGGTGATGATGATGATGATGATGATGATGATGATGATGATGATGATGATGAAGGTGATGGTAATGATGACGACGACAATGATGATGATGATGATGATGATGATGATGATGATGATGATGA